CTCTATATGCAGTGGACTCACTTGGCCAATCTTATGATTGCAGTTCCTTCAGGATCTTTCATAGCAATGGCTCTCTTCAGACACTGCACACACACAAGTCAAGGAAGGTTGAACAGACAAAATTGAGGTGGTCACCTTCTTGGATTCCTCCCATCGTGCCAGGTCTTCATAACACAGTCCCATTGCCAGCAGAACCCTCGGATCAGATGCTCTGAACAAAACACAAGAAACCACTTTTCACATGGCAAAAAGTTAACTTGATGCATAAGTATACTCACTCATACACCATAATCTTTTCGTCCACCACTCCTACTGATGTTTAGCATGTTGTACTGGTGATGATGTCATACCTCAATCGATGTGCTTGCTTGTAGTAGTAGAGGGCATAGTGCGGCATTTCCAGCATCTCATAGACATGTCCCATCCCATAGTAGCCTCGGAGATCCTGCTTGTTGGCAGCTGGTGCAAGAAAACAGGGTGCCGTAAGCAGAGCTTGCGGAACACTGGAGTAGATCCGACAAGTGAGAGGTCACTCACTAATGCAAACCTACCACATCACCCTATGTATGAACTCTTCCCCCCAGGCTTAGAGAGAGAGATGGGAGGAAACAAGAGTGTAGTGTACAATTAGTGCTGAAGGAAGCAGCTGGTTTAGGTGGAGATACACAACAAACGCACAGGCTCTCTGCTTCAGAAAGGACAAGAGGGGAGAGGGGAGGGAAGTAGGAGGAGGAGGGAGAGGAGAGGGAGAAGGACTCACCAATGCCTCTGCTGTAAGCCTCCAGAGCCATGCAGGAGTTCTTCTTCTCCAGGTACTCGTGGCCCAGCAGGATCCAGGCTGAGTGGTCCCCTGGGTTGAGTCGAATCGCTCTTCGGAAGTATGCTATCGCCTTGTCGTGATTCCCTCTAAGACTGTAGAAATTACCTGTGGCAGTGGATTGCCTGAGATCGGAGACCTCTCCTGTAGGTCAGGGGCTGAGACTGACCTAAAACTGAGCAGGTCTCGGCGCGGTACATGTCAATCTTTATCACCTCCTGAGTCAATTGAGTGAGTTCCTGTAACTTCTCCTGTCAAGAAAGTGAGGACGAGGAGGGATGAAGAGAGGAGAGAGAGAGGGGTGAAGAAGAGTTGCTGTTTGCTCTCACCATGACAAAGAGCATGTGAGAGAAGACGTCCAGGTCAGTCAACCTCTGAGGATCATTTCTCCGCAGATCACCAAACAGTCCACAGGCACTGACATAATCTGCAGTCCTCGGGTATCACCAACATCGAAGAGGAACCAGCAGAACACATCACCTTTCTTGTGGTAGTGTGCTAGAGCCAGTTGGGCAGTGATGTAAGAGGAGGAGAGAAATCCCACGAGGCTGAGATTGGTGTAGTAGGAGAGAGCATCGTCCAGTAGTGACAGGTTCAGGGAGGCAGCTGCCAAGAAGAAATCCTTCAGCCAGTGGTAGGGTAGACTCAGGCCATACAGCTGGAAAGAAGAACCGTTGAGAGGGGGAACCCCTGTAATTAGTGTGGTGGACCATTTCTCTGGAGTCACAGAGGCTGGCCAGCTCCGACCAGGCTCCCCAGAAGAGAGGCTGGAGAGACAATGACATCATCTGAGCCTCCCTCGCATCCTTCTTACAGCTCAGCTCCCTCAGTACCACTCCGTACCTATAAATTAGAGGGGCTCCCTCACATTACTATGGTGACTGTGGCTCACAGGTAGTAGCCATAGCTGTCAAGAGTCTTGGCTCCAGCTCTCTCTGCCAGCTCTCTCTTCAGGGAAAGGAGCTCCTCATTCTCCATCCTCCTCTCCTCATCTGGTCCTGGTAGCGTATATTATACACACAGAGAGAGAGAGAGAGAGCAGGATGTATATATAGCTATATACAAGAAATTTAAGAAAAATTGTCACGCAGCTTTTCCCTTACCAATAGCATCCACTCTCTCATCTTCTTTCTGCTTCTCTCCAGCCTAAATAATAACAGCATAATCCATGAGTGTAGCTAGTTGGGTGTGTGGTGAGTACCCACAAGGTAGAGGGAGTAACATCTGAGGAAGAAGGCCTCAGGGGACTGGCAGCTGGCCAGTGCATGAGCTGCTCTCCTGTACTCGCCCAGTCGGTGGAGGGACTGGGCATAGTAGTACTGGCACAGCTCGGCCTGGAGCTGAGGGGAGCGGCTTGGTGCCTCGGGAGCTCCCGCAACCTCAGCATCGTCTTCTATGCCGCTGGCGAGCTCGATCGCCCTACAGAGTGGGTGTGACTCTAGGGGGTACTGGTATGGAGAAACGCACCAGTTGGCGCTGTACTGGAGCCCTCTCTCGGTGCACTCGAGGTAGGAGCGAAGCAGAGCAGCTTTCACCTGACCCAAAGAGGGCACATCTTCACTAGTTTTCGACGCCATGCTCGCCCACGCATGCGCACATTTAACCATAGATAATCTATGATTCAACATGCTGAAACAACCATAGAAGTCACACCATTCTTCACTGTACAGGGAGAGTGTGGTCCAAGATGGCTGAATCATTGACAGATGACGAGCTGGTGACTATTGTAGACTCGTACAAGAGGAAGAAGCTCAATCCCACGTCCTCGAAAACCGCGGATGATCGGGACCTCAGGTAATGTGGCCGCGTGTGCGTGCGTACGGGTGTTTGTACTCCGCTTTTTGTTCGGCGGGCAGCTCTACAAGATATTCATTGTGGTTGCATGCCTGTAAACCTTGTCTGCTTGTGGCTGGAGCTGTGGTGTGTGCAGCACAAGGCACAGCTACCTAGCTCTCCACAATGGTACATTACCACTCCCTCACTGCATCCACACAGGGTCTATGTGAACAGAAGTGTGAGCATGGAGAGGATCAAGTACATAGGATTCGACATGGACTACACTCTTGTTGGTGAGTGGACCTGTAACTCTGGTAATGAGGACCTCTCTAACAGAGTCTGTCCAGAGTACAAGTCTCCAGAGTACGAGATGCTGTGTTTTGACATGGTGGTCAAGAGACTCATCTCCATTGGCTATCCTCCCGTGAGCTAATGCATTCTCTCTCGGGGTGGGGCTCGTAGCTGTGGAATTCTCGTTTACAGGAAATTGCTGGTTTGAAGTACGATCCTACCTTTCCATTGAGGTGAGCTCTGCCAAGTACGCCCATTACCCTCTCTCGCCATCTCTCTATCGCCACTCAGAGGACTATTCTTTGACAAGCAGTATGGAAATCTCTTAAAGGTAATTTAGCACTCATTCCTGGAATCTCTGAGTAATGGTACACTCTCATTGCAGGCTGATCAGTTTGGCAACATTCTCTCCTGTTTCCACGGATTCAAATCACTCACTTCGTAAGTGAAACCTACCCCTCATTTATCTGTTGGTTTCACCCAGACGTTATGCGTAAACTGTCGCAGTGCGGAGATTCGAAGGCAGTATCCCAACAAGTATGTTCAGGTGTAGTCCAACCTTCCACCAGGGAGAACAGCCTGTACTCACACTCCCTTCCTTCCCTTCCTTCCCTTCCATTCTCTCTCTCCTATTCACCCTCAGCCCACAGACGAGAGAAGGATCCACATCCTCTACACTCTGTTTCAACTACCAGAAATATATCTCCTCGCAGCTCTGGTTGACTTCTTTGAGAACAAGAATCGAGGCTACACCAGGTATCCTAGGGTTTAAATCTCTGAGGCACTATTTTTCATTGATGGGGTCTTTTTTGAGTCAAGCTGAACCAAATTTTTGTAAAAAGGAAAATTGTTTGAGTTGTAACCTGGCAGTTTTTGTGGCTTAATTGTTAATAATGACGGTCAAAACGAAAATTATCTCCCTGAAAATTGGCACTGCAGAATGGCTCAGAATGTTTGTATGTAATTATGATGTAACACACAGGATTGAACAAAGTCCAGACACCCACGGGGGAGTCCAGTGTGGAGATGTACTCATCACTTACCAAATGATATGGTGGGATGTGCGGACCTCTGTGGACTGGCTGCATGTCTATGTGAGTCTTAATTTCTCCATACCCCTCCAAAGCGCCTTGTAGAGTGTGTGAGAGAAAAAAGAAAAAGCGGCACAAATCCTATATATAGGCAAACAGATGAGGTATTATCGCTCTAGCAGCAGTAGCTGTATGAAGCTTTTTCACACTGGGAACATTGTATGCAGACACTCCCAAGGGTGATAACCAAGTCTGTTAGAGTTCACCACTGTGGGTGACCTATGTACAGGGTGATGTGAAAGAGAAGACGGTCAAGAACTTGGAGCGCTATGTGGTAAAGGATCCGAGACTTCCGTTGTGTATCCACAAGTAAGCTACAGCTACAGCTCTGGTATGGAGGTGACCTCCCCCTCTCTCTCTCTCTCTCTGTACGTGTGACACTTGTGCAGACTCAGGAGCAGTGGGATGAAGACCTTCATAGCTACCAACAGCGACTACAGATATACTCAGGTACTCACACTGTGCATAGCACCATCAGTGAGAGAGAGAGAGAGAGAGAGAGAGAGAGAGCTTTGTATGCCGTGTACCTGCAGAAAATCATGACTCATCTATTTGACTATCCGGAGGGACCAGACGTAAGTCTTTCTCCCTGTATACTGGAGATGTGTGATTGGTGTTTGAATGATAGGGTGGCCCTCATCGGAGGTGGAGGGAGTACTTTGATCATGTAATAGTGGATGCCAAGAAACCGCGTTTCTTTGAAGAAGGCTCCATGCTACGAGAGGTTGACGAGGTATGTGTGTACTTTGCTTTTTTGTTGGGCACACCAGTTTTGTTGTGTTGTATACGTGTGCATGTTGTAATAGCATACATTTATCATTACAACGTCCCATGTTTATGTGCATGTCATGTCTGATGTGGTGATAATGTCTACAATGTGTAACAAGCGTCCATGTAATTTCACTTACAAGATCTACATGATATTTTGTTGAGGGCAGACTTTTGTCCCACATGCTTGCTCTACTGCTCAATCGATCGATTATGCAACAAAATCACCTTTCCCCTTCCTTTTGTCTTTCTTTTCCCCCCCTCACATACACTCTCACTCTAGGACACGGCATCCCTGAAGCTGGGGGTGTTCACAGGAGCTCTGAAACCTGGTCAGGTCTACAGTGGCGGGTCCTCTGGCGCCTTTTGCAAGTACACTGGGGCCAAAGGAAAGGTGTGCCTCCTGGTTGTATACCTCGTCCACTAGTTGAGTCTGCACCCTCAGGAAATTCTCTATGTGGGAGACCACATCTTTGGCGATGTTATCAAGGCCAAGAAGGAGCAGGCCTGGAGGCAAGTATTCCTGCCCGTGCCTGCCAGCATTGTGGCTTTATCTTCACAGGACCACAGCGTGAAGTTGATTAGGCCTGTGTGTTTGTTTTTCACCCTCAGGACATTTCTGGTGCTGCCAGAACTAAAGAAAGAGGTGAAGGTGTGGGAGTCGACTCAGAGTGAGTGGCTATAATGACAGTGGCAGGGAACTATGTGTCTCTGTGGCAGGTTTGTTCCTGAGGCTCCAGAACCTGGCCTACATCTTGGCTGAGGTGTACGGGAGTGGCTCAGGGCCCACTGACGGAGGTGTCAAACTCCCTGACATGAACTCACTGAGGAGAGCCCTGAAGGTCACACTCTGAACTAGGACTGCATCAGTTCTGTTAGGTTACATGCAACATTCCTTGTTGCATGTTTGAATGACAAGCCAACACTTGTCAGTGTGACATTAATGTCAGTGTGACAAATCGCATACTAGTCTTTGTCTGCATGCAATCGCCACTCTCTCTAATCAGGTCAGAGTTCTTGTTCCTCCCTCATTGCTGGTGTGTGTGTAGGTCACCTCACAGGAGATGGAGGACAGCTATCCCAGTAGACTGGGGAGTCTGCTCAGATGTGGTGAGGATTCCCACTAGCCTGTGTAGTCACAGGAAGAGAGAGGGAGCTAGTTTCTCATGCTGGTTTGTCTCCAACACCCAGGATCTCGGCTGACACACTTTGCTATCATGGCCAATCGGTTTGCAGACCTCTACAGCTCCTCCTGTGTCAACCTCATGAGATATCCCTCCAACTACCTCTTTACTGCCCCACATCAACTGGTATGCAGAGCCAGCTGCCTTAGGGTGCATATTTTTTCAAAGTGTCCTATATAGCACACAAAAGTGTTGCACTGTACATGATTGCTGCTGTTGAGGTGTGGTGTCCTGTGTGTGCAGATGGTACATGAGACGAATCCCTCAGACAGTCTACCCATTTCCCCTGCACTTCCCGGTACACCTGGCCTGACTGGCAAGAGACCTCGCATGCTCACCAAGCTCCCTCGGGGAATGTCTATTGTGGACCACGACGTGGACCTGGAGGACGACAACGGAATCAGGAAGAGAAGCAGCCACGATGAAGTCCCATGACTCAACAAGAACCTCATTGCATGCTGTCGCTTTTTCAAACAATTTCTTATACGGCACCATTGTAGGGTAATCAACTATTCATTGAATAGCAAACAGCATGCATACCGCCTCAATTCACGTACGCTGCTTTAGCATCATTGTATGTGTAATCAACTATTTTTGCAAACATTGAATATCATAATGTGAAACTGTGACATTGAAGCCTGGACCAAGCAGGCCATGTGACATGATATACAGTACAACTACAGAAAGATGAGGATGATGAGATGACTAGCAGCTCTAATACAGTCAGAAACACTGGTCAAAAAATTAGGTAAAATCAGTGAGTTAACTCAATATAAAAAGTCAAGGATGATTACTTGTTCAAGAATATATGATATCTTAGTCTTGGGGAGGGATTAGGTGCAAAAAATACAAATATCATGGTACACGGAAACAGCCCACAAAATAATACTTTCTTGATTACAAAAATCGGATATGTACATGTAATTTGCCAAGTTCTTGCCATATTCTGGGCTGGGCCAGGGTAACATGACAAGAAGGTTGGAGTTAGGAGTTCGGGGGTGGAGGAAGAGGATAGTGTTAGACAGAGGAGTGGGGGTAGGGAGAGGGTGCTGTAACAGACGACTCAGTCACACTCAGTGTCGGCAGCTGGTCGCTGCAGCGAGGAGAGAGGCTTTGGGCAGCAGGCGAGGCTGCGAGGGGAAGAGGTTGATGGCTCGAGGCCGATCCCCGTTCTCCTTGATGAAGCAGCGGTGGTTCTGGGTCCCAGGGGCAGAGTGGACGGCTGCCCAGCAGTGCTCGCAGTAGTAGCGGAGACAGTGGATGTTCCCACAGAAGTAGGGGGCATAGCGACCACCACAGTTGATCCCGTGACACTCGTCACAAATCTGGTCGTCTAACACGTACGGCTTGACCTCCACCTGTGAGTTTAGGGAGGGTGTGAAGGAGGAGGGAGGGTGTGAAGGAGGGGAGGGAGAGAGAGAATGGGTGCACAGGTTGAAAGAGCATTGGTTCTTTTGGGACAAACAAATTGGTTAATTGACGGCCGGTAACATGCAAAGACACTGCATGCAGCAAGTAGCACAAGTACAAAGAGCCACAGGCCAGGAGAAAAGCCTCCCACGTTTCACTTTGAGAGAACTTCCATTGAACCACATGTGAGAAACTACGCGTGGACACCGCATGTGAGTAGTTAATCGGCAGTGAGGACACAAGAGGTGAGTACATGCACATTTTAGTCACCTTCTTGTCTATGTCTCCGTAAGTGACCTGTAAGAACCTGCACGACACAGCACTCATGAAACTGACCCTCGACGAGAAAGTCACTCGACCAGCACCTGCACATTGGAGGGAAATGTTACAGCAGAGAACAGCTGACATAACAAAAGAGGGATAGTAAAAGGAGAGAGAGAGAGAGAGGGAGAAACATAGGTGCAAGTTCTCACCTTTGGGGTACTTGAGGTCTGGGTCACAGTCGATGCCGGCATAGCACACGTTGCCGTACCTCGCGTTGAAGATGTCGGCTAGCTCGCAGGCCTTGAGGGGACGGGGCACTCCTCCAATGAAGATGGTCTTCCGTGCATCAATGGGCTGTGTGTGGTCCATGATGAAGTCACTGTCACTGAGTCTCCAAGGCCTGATCTGCACCTGTGGTGGTGGTGGTGGTTTTACCCACAACTGTTAATAACCTGTGAGCTGACACTGCCTAGAGGCTGCTAACCACATGCACACTAGCTAGCTAGCTTGCAAATCACCAGAGCACCGAAGCCATGGACTGAGATTACAAACAGACTTGTAAAAAGTGTAGAAAACCTGCCCAGACAGCCAGACAGAGCGCCAGACACATGGGGCCGAAGGACTTCGGCTATCACGTTTTCTTGTAGCGCAGTACAAGATCTCCAGGAGTGATCAGAACGCTGGCAACATGCACGCTGCCCCCCCACATGGCATGCAGTGTTACACTCAATGTGGGTCAGGTATATTGTACATGTGTCGTCGCAATGAGCTGACCTTCTTGTTGGACTGAGTGAGCGAGGAGACAAACATGTACAGCTTCCCCTCCTCCGAGAGACAGCTCTTGACCAGGCGGTGAACTGACGCCTCCTCACGGAATAGCAGGAAAGCATATCCTGGAGAAGAAAAAAGTGATTTCCAGTAACATGAATGATCCGTGGAAGGGATGTGTGTTGCGTGTGCTGTAAATAGGTTTTCTCTGTTGGGCCATTCCGCTTCCTTTGAGCAAGGAACTGGAGGCCGGGGGGAACACAACCACAGGCCTTGTGTAAGCAACTCAACAATAGTCTAGAAAATGTGTGCTGGGCTACAAACTATTTGTACACCCAACACAATGCTCTGAATGTCAGTAGGCAGTCCGAGGGAGGACCCAGGAAGAGGCAGCAATAGACCCAAACTATACCCACAAGCAGTTGAGAAACGAGGTGGCATCAGTTGGGTGGGTAGGGCAGGGCGAACAATTGTCTATTCTACTGGCAAGTTTGGGTATGCAACTGCGAAAAATCTGAAGTTACACCTTTTGGAGGGAAGTAGGCCTTTGACTGGGCCTTGTGTGGCCAGTCCACCGTGAGACCTCCAAACTGGATGAAGGAGTCTCTGATCTCATCTGGAGAGAGGAGAGAGGGGAAAACACAGATGTTTTTAAGGCAGCGAAAACATGCTCCACTTGGCGTAATGTACACGCTGTTCTGCACTGGCAACCACAGCACACAGAGCTGCTGTTGAACGCAATATTAGTGGACTCTCAAGCTGAGTGCATGATACAAGCTTGTCAAATTCCAAGTGGCCTTGCAAAGTAATCCTAATGCTGGTCCTTTTCTACTAGAAATACATAGCTATTTATTCCGACAGAGAAAGAGAAAGAAGTTGCAGCAGAGTAGTGATTGCGTACCTTGGTCTATGTCGGGCGGGAGTCCTCCGACAAAAACCTTCCTGGAGTACGTCTCCACTGGTGGAGGAGAGGAGGTAGAGGAGAAGGAAGAGAGGCCGCCGCATGAACTCCCGCAGCCTCTGCTGCTGCTGCTGCTACTACTACTACTGCTGCTGCCTTGCTGCGGGCTGGGCGTGCGAGAGCCGTTGGAGCCCGAGGAGGAAGATGAGCTCGTTTGCTCGTCTGCAGAGGAAGAGACGGACATGACGCGAGCGCGGGAAAAACGCTGCAGCACGCGGAGAAGACCTCCAATTCCCATCACCCCCGGCCCCATGCACGAGTCTTATGCTGTCTTACCCAGAGGCAGACTCCAGCTGTAGTCGAGCGCAGCGTCCAGCCTGCTGTCCACGAATGCTGCCATCGTCCCGCTGCCAGCTCCAAAACCTCCCGCATACATTGCGCACTCGGAACGACGACTCTCTACCGGAGGAACGGAGCTCGGCTGCTACACGGAAAAGATTATGAGCATAATATGTTGCAAACATTTTGGTGGTAGGAACACAGAGACTGCTGTACGGCAAAAAAAAGGACGTGTATTCTTCTTGCTCTCGTTCTTTTACAAGAAAAACGGCACACAACAGGGTTTGCAACAGTGCAGCATGTGCGGGGAAGAGGCTCTACCAAAATGGTACACATAACTGCGTCTGTTTGGAGCTAACCTTCCAAAGTCTCATGGAGCTCTCCAGCGCGCAATGAAGCGAGGCCGGGGAGGAGAGACGGTCCCATTGCTGGCCGAATGCGTCTTGAACCGGGGTCTGCGCAGTCATAGTCGGTCCGGAGGTCCCGTGCGGTGAAGAGTGCTTCTTGTGCGAATGAGTTCAGAATGAACGGCTGCAGAAGGTCCCAAACAGTGCAGTTTTCACCTTTTGGCTTTTGGTCTCCCGGAGTGAAGGCGGTTTTTATACCATCTTGCGCGGAGGCGTGCGCATGCGCTTTTCCGCGCGGATCAGGGATTTTCCCAGGGAAATAGATGTCGTCATTCGCTCTCTCTGGCTGAAAAAACACCGCGATTCACCATCATGGAAGGAGACTCAGACTCGGGCTCAGAGCCTTCTACTGCCCTTATCGAACAGAGAAGGGCCAGTTTGACAGAGTGAGTGGCTGTAATGCACAGTTGTCGAGTTAGATCAAGGCCCCTCTGTATTGGCTTACAGCCGCTCTTGCTGGGTGTGTTTCGCAACTGACGAAGACGAGCCAGGAAAGCAGTGGACCAGTCCGTGCCAGTGCAGAGGAGCCACAAAGTGGGTCCATCAGGTCTGTCTCCAGCACTGGATAGACGAGAAACAGAGAGGTGCATCCTCGGTGGATGTCCAGTGCCCGCAATGCATGTACACCTACCGCATCACTTACCCTGGACAGAGTATCCTGCTCTCCCTCTACGAGCGCACAAACCAGATCATCTCATTCAGCTCCCCCATGATCCTGGCCAGCATCTCCGCCTCCTCCCTCTACTGGGTGTCGGTCACATACGGAGTCGCCTCCCTCTCCGCTGCCCTCGGGAGAGAGCGATCAGTCCGGTTCTTCAGCGATCCCTCCTCCTCCCTTGCCGTCGTCAGTCTCCCACTCCTCCCCTGGGGGATCCTGGGGTTAAAGGTGGTACGGCTGGAAGTTCAAGTCCTGAGGCTGTGGCATCGACTCTTCGTCCCTGTCCTCTACGGTCTCCTGAAGAGGGTTCCTGGAATCAGGCTCCTTGACCTCCGCCCCACCCTCTACACCCCTACTCCAGTGGCAATCTTCCCGCATGTGTCTCGATGCATAGTCGGGACATTTGTCCTGCCTGTCGTGTCTTGCCTCCTCGGCTGGATGTGCTCATATTTCCTGCAGAGAATGTCAAATTTCAAGCGAGTGCTACTGGTGAGATTACCTTTCAATGATAGTCAAGAGCTCTAATGATGTACTGCTCTCCCCATGTTTGTATGTTTGTCTGTATTCAAGGGAGGAGGCAGTTACCTACTGGCCAGTTACTCTGCTAAGTTATGCCTGGAGCACTACAGAGCCGCTTCTCTCTCCAGACAAAGAGCAATGGACAACGCAAATAATGGAACCACATAGCCTTTTGTTTTTGGTTCATGTGAATTGTCACTGGATGTCTATGTGTATATTATACAGAGACTGGTCAATGTGTTGCTCTTTGTGGTTTATGCTTGCGCGCGTGCATGCGTACTAGCTAGCTATATCTATATAGACTGTAGTGCGGTTTGCGCATACGCACATGATGTGCGCGCGTGCGAAATTTTGTGGGTGGGGCCGGGGGCTGGCCTAAAGTTAGTGTGCATCGGACTTATGAGTCACACCCAAGGAAGACTAGACGGTAACAATGTTTCCTCTTCGCCATTCCCACTATCTCCCTACACACATTCCCAGGTCATTGGGGGGATGAGTGACAGCATAGCTGTGCAGAGCAGCTATGTTTTCAGGGCCATGGATCGCATGGACAGAAGCATCACTGCAGCCTCCCCTGTTGCAGTGGCCGTAATAGGCATCGCCTCACTTTATTATGTAGCATTTAGCTATGGACTGGCTGTGGTGGGACTGCTGTTTGGTAGAGACAGTGTGACACAAGTGAGCTCAATTTTTCAGAAGTCCCAAACTATATAGAACTTTGTGGTGTGTATAATATGTAGGTGATAGCCACTGCCCCTTACAACCCAATGTTGGTGGTAGTAGGAGTGCCAGCCATCCCTGCAGTGCTGGTCATGCTGGAGGGTGCTGACTTAGATGGAAGGTAAGCAGTGTCATCCTACAGTGATAATGCTACTTGCATCAAATGAGACTGCCCTCTGTGGTTGATGATTTTCACTCTCCCCACTCAAGGGGTATAGCTGTCTGGAGAAGAGAGATAAGTCCTCGTCTGTCGGGTATTCCTCTCATTGGAGGTCTCATTGAGGCAATCTGGCCCACACCTGTCAGGGTCCCTTATCCCTCGTCCCAGGGTCCAGCCAACCTGGTTGAGGAGGCAGCACGCAGCCTGAGTGCTGGACTACTCCTCCCATTTGCAGCCTACATCACTGGGAAGGTTCTGTTCAGCTGCGTGAAGAGCACTCCCAAGCAGGTCACCCTGGTGAGGAGTTTCATTATACAGTTTGTGGTATTTTTATGCAGCTGTCTTTTAGGGTGGAGCAGCATTCTTTTTAGGAAAAACACTCTTGAAGATGTACTTACGACAGCAGGAGTTTAGGCAGCAAGGTTCACGCAGAGTACTGGACTATGCTGAAGAGTAAAATCCTGTCACTACTCAATGCATTTCACACATGTATCATTCTCCCTGCAGTCACAATTACAGGTTTTTGACTTTACAAATTCAGCACATAGTATGATACCAACTACAAAAGGTTGTTCGTAAAACAAAGTTCAAAGTCATATGTAGGAGAGTCTATTCAGAAATAAGCTAAATGATAAGAACATGGAGTATGGTGGTGTGGTTCAAAAATTTCATTTCCTGAGCCGAGATGAACGACGAATGGGAGCAGTCGAACTGGCTACTTTACCACGTGACGATCGTGTGCTTGGCCTGACGGGGGCTGTGGTGTCTTCTTTCTCAGCACTCGCTTCTTGTTTAGCTGCCCGCCTTGCTTTCTTTGGTCCACTCTCTCTGGGGACTTCTGTTGGGGGTTTCTGCTCACTTGTAGGTTTGCGAGGCTCGACTTGTGCTGCCTGGACTCCTGCAAGTCTGCGAGACTGTCTCAGTGGTTTGTCTGGCTCTGACTGTTTCAACTCGACGACAGACTTTTCGGCTGGGGCATGCGGTGTAGGATCACTGGCCACTCTTGTATAGCGGCGTGTTGATCGTCTTGCCATGGGTGCTACTCCCTCTGTCTTCTGTGGCTTTTGACTTTGCTCGTCTTTGATGGACTGAGCATTGTTAAGGCTTTCCATGTGTGTGCTTGGGGCACCTTCATTGATGGGAGCCATGACTGTGGCTCTTCTCCTGGGTCTGGTTGGCAGGACCTCCATTGGAACTGTCTCGTGCACTGTCATCTTGTTGAGTCGTGACCTCCTTCGTGAGGCTACTGCTGTTGCTGCTGGTGCAGATCTTGTTTCTGAAGTGTCAATTGTAGCTGCTCGAGATCGGGTTGTACGTTTGGTCGGGGGAGGTAGGGCGTTCTCTTTCTCGGGGTTATTCGTGGCACTCCTGCCCCTCTTCCTGGTTGGCAGTTCAGGGAGTGGAGCCTCCATCTGTTTGACTGCACGTGATCGAGTGACTCGAGTGGTAGTTGCAGTACTACAAACTTTCCTTGTGCGTTTCCCCCTCCCCTTCTTCTCCTGGGGGAGAGGGTCTGAGACTCCGATGGTGAACAAGCAGCAAGGCTCTGTGCTCTTGAGACAGGATTGCAGACCCTGAGCACTAGTCGGACGACTTGGAGGCTTCTTTGACGACGTGGCAAGGGGAGAGGCAAAGCCAACCTCGCGAGACTCGCCAAACAGCTTCACATCAAACACATCTGCCGGATCGGCCGAGTTGCAGACACGGGGAGATTTGAAAAGATGTGGGAGACCAGTCAGATTGACGGCTGGTGAGTTCTTCTTCGGCTGGAGGTATGGTCCAAAGTCGTAGGCCCTGGGAGTGGAGCTGTTGGCGATCTTCATCCTCTTGGCAGGAGTAGCTGGGTCTGCTGGCAAGACAGTTGTGGCATAGGCCCTCTTGGACGATCTGGCTGGTGTAGAAACACTGGAGGTTTTGTTAGAGGAGGGAGCAGGGGTCAGTGGAGTTTTGGCAATCCTCCTTCTCTTGGCCGGAGGAGCAGGTACGGGGGTCTCACATGCCAACATTGTGTCGGCATACGCTCGCTTGGAGCGAGGCTCGGCGGCCTTTGTTTGAGGTTCTGGGTGGAGGGAACGCAGCGCGAGTCCTCTCTGTATCTCCTCCCTCAGTGGCGTGGGCAGTGCCGGCTTTGTCTTGCAAAGTGTGGGTCGAGATTTCAGTTGTCCCAGGAGGTCGGCTGGGAGGGATCTCTTGGTCGATCGCAGTGCAGGTCGCTGCTGGATGGCAGTGCGAAGAGGAGTCGGAAGAGTCGGTTTTGTCTTTCGCAGGGAGCGCTCGGCCTGGATGGCAAGTCTGAGTGGTGTCGGGAGACACCTCTTGGTTTGTCTTAATGGTGGTCGGCTCTGGATCTCCTCTCTGAGAGGTGTGGGCAGAGTGTTCTTGGTCTTGCGGAGAGTAGGCCGAGATTCAATAGCCCTACGGACTGGGGTAGGCATCGATTTCTTGGTCTTTCTCAGCACTGGCCTCGATTCAATATCCTTGCGAACTGGGGTGGCCAATGTTTGCCTGGTCATACGAAGGGCAGGCTTCGATTCAATATCCTTGCGAACTGGAGTGGCCAATATTTGCCTGGTCTTACGAAGCGCAGGCCTCGATTCAATATCCTTGCGAACTGGGGTGGCCAATGTTTGCCTGGTCTTACGAAGGGCAGGCTTCGATTCAATTTGCTTGCGAACTGGGGTGGCCAATGTTTGCCTGGTCTTACGAAGCGCAGGCCTCGATTCAATATCCTTGCGAACTGGAGTGGCCAATATTTGCCTGGTCTTACGAAGCGCAGGCCTCGATTCAATTTCCTTGCGAACTGGAGTGGCCAATATTTGCCTGGTCTTACGAAGTGCAGGCCTCGATTCAATATCCTTGCGAACTGGAGTGGCCAATATTTGCCTGGTCTTACGAAGCGCAGGCTTCGATTCAATTTCCTTGCGAACTGGAGTGGCCAATGTTTGCCTGGTCTTACGAAGGGTATAGGGCATACTCTCGATTTGCTGACGAATAGGAGTGGCCAATGCCTTGCGTGTGCTGCGGAGGCTTGGTCGGGCACGAATCCGGCTGCGAATGGGGGTAGGAAGAGAGCGGTGGGTCTTACGGAGCGACGGCCGGTCTCTGATTGCCCTGCGGAGTGGTGTCGGAAGTGCTCTGCGAGTCGACCTCAGTCGAGGCTTGTCTTGAATTGCTATTCTCAGCGGAGTGGCCAGCTTCTTGTAGTGCTGTCTCAGAGATGGCTTTGAGCGTATCTCCTTCTGAATTGGAGTGGAGAGGGCAGGTTGTTTTACCGGAGAGGCAACTGGAGTGGTGTCTGACTCTTCACCCTCTCCCTCACTCTCTGGAATAGGCTCCTCCTCATCTTCCTCGGCGTCCTCATCGCTAGAGGCTTCCTCGAACCCAGTCATGCTATATTCCACCACTTCCTCCTCCGTTTCTATCACCTCTCCTTCCTCCACCTCTTCTTCCTCTTCACAGACCTCGGCGACAAACCCCAGAGCCTCGGTTCTAGCAGGCAGAGAGCGCCGTAGTCCACCGGGGACATTGCCAACCTTGACCGGAGTGCTGGGTGGCATGTGTTTGAGGAACACCTCTGGAGAGAGAGCCGGACCAAACGACACGCTCCTACGATACGCAGGCTTTGAAGAGCTTTTCGATGTGAGCCAGTTGAAGTTGGCGTTGGCAGATGTGGTGGTGACCGACCCCGTGGAGTATTTGTGGGAGGTTGCTGGGGAGACCGGGCTCGCTAGAGACTCGTTTTCCTCCCTAATCGACATTAGGGAGGTGGACATGGACGAACAAGAGGAGCGGGACTGCGATGACCGACTGCGAGATATAGTGGGTGTGTCAGAACGCTTGGGTTTCTTGGACGGTGGAGTCACAGTTGCCTGCAAGTGTGGGAGCACACACACACACGGTAGAGCCTGTGAATGAGAGATCGTTTGCTACATACCAAATCAGGTTTCGGAGTTGTAGGAGTAGCTTGAGGTGTGGTCTGTAGTAAAAAAAGAGCAGAGTGTGATACTCAGTTACATCATCACGTAAATACAATGAGCTATCTCACTTCTTCAGCAATTGACTGGAGGGAAGATGAGAGAGAGGACAGGGAGGAGCGGACGGAGGAATGACGGTTACGGGCCACAGTGGGGGTGGGTACATGCTCCTTCTTCTTGGAGATGGGGGTGGGGGGGTCGAGCTCCACCCTGAGTGGAGCCATGTGACTTATTGAGAGGTGTGGTAGAGGCTGGAGTGGTTGCCGGGGTACTTCGAGGTGCGCGGGAGATAGACTTCCTGGCGGAACGAGGTGTCGTTACGTTCTCCTTTTCCTTGGATTTTGGAGTGCCGACCGACTTCCTCTGCTGTAGTAAACACAGTGATTGCAGTGATTATACAGGAGAATAGTTTGATTGTGTGTGTCACCTTTCCTGCTGGACTAGCCATTGGTTTGTTGGACTCCTGCAGCGGAGAAGGCGTGAAACTATCGCGGTAGATAAAGCGAAATGTGCAGGAGCCCACAGAAATGATGCTTTTGTCAGCAACGGAGGTCTCCTTCAAGACATCTGCTCCATTCAGGCTCACTGGCACAGTTGACACCAAACTGCTCACAAATACCTGTGTACAAGGTGAGACAAAAGCGTCTTATAGAGAATCGCATACACCCCAGACGCGCCCAACGTACCTTGCCACTTTTGTCGACCCTCAGCTTTGCGTGCCTGTCACAAGCGCTGGGTACCTGCACCTTGAAGTCACAGGTATGGTCTCTGGAAACAAGAGTTTCATGACTGAAATTTTGACCTGTACGTCCTGCAAACTTACTTTCCTAGCACCATTTCGGACTTCTTGACAAGAGGATACGCTGTTCCATCCGTTCCATTGCGTTTGATGTGAACAAAGTCGCACACGACGTCTTCTAGCTCCATCTTTCAAACCTTCGTTTTTCTGGGAGAAGACGCTTTTTGCAGTTGCGCGCTAAAATTCAAAAGTTGAAATTGACCAATCAAATCGCGCGCTTCATAGGTGGATCACGTGTGTCAAAGTTAGCTCAAAAATGGCGCTTTGTTGAGGTCGGATCCTGTGGAGTTTTCCACCCAACAGAGCCATCGAGATTGTTCCCGGAGAGGAGTAAAGTTGGAGAGAGTGCCAACCATGAACCGCTTGGTGGACCGGATGTAAGACGCTTTACTGAGTGCTGGGGAGGGAGAGAAGTGGGTGGAAGACTGCAGTATCTATGCCCGAGCCCTAGAGAGAGTGTAGAAAGTGATTTTTAGTGGGCTACATAGACACGCTACATGTTTACCGGCCCTCAATGGTAACTTTAGCTTATCCCCTCAATCCTTTGCTACAGGACCAACATGGTCATGAACTACTCTGATGTTGAATCGAAAGTGCGCGAGGCCACTAACGACGAGACGTGGGGTCCGCACGGTACGCTCATGGCCGATATCGCCAAATACACGTTCACCTACGAGCACTACCCCGAGGTGATGACCATGCTGTGGAAGCGGATGTTTGAGGCTCGCAGGAACTGGAGGAGGACTTACAAGGTACATAGCAGCTGATGTATTAGTATGGATGAGAATGGGTGTGGCTGTGGTGTTGGCTTGGGGTTTGAGCGAATGCTTGGTGCTCTGTGTGTTCATTGTCTACCGCACTAGACCAACCATTCACTCTGTGTTTAGTGCACACAGCTGCAAACACCCTGAACATCCTATTCCCTCTACCACAGGCCCTTCTTCTCCTTCACTACCTAGTGAGGAACGGTTCGGAGCGAGTGGTGGCCAGTGCAAGAGAACACATCTACGACATGAAACCTCTGGAGGAGTACGTATTCCGAGATGAGCAGGGTAAAGACCAGGGTGTCAATGGTGAGTCAGACTACCTCAGTACCCACATCCTTCCTCTGGCTGAACCACTCTCCTGGTCTCAGTTCGCCAGAAAGCCAAGGAGATCATCTCTTTCATTCAAGACGACGAGAGACTGAAGGACGCTAGAAAGCAGGCAAAACAGTCGCGGGACAAGTTCGTCGGATACTCTTCGGAAGAAACTCAATACAAATACAGTGGGTCCCTCCTACTGTAGAACTGGTGTCTATGCTTTGTCTACAGGTGATAGGTATGCTCCGGAGCCACGTTCACGGTCTTCAGTGAATTCTTCTGGTGGATCAAAGTACGACCCAGACCCTCACGGACCTCTGGATGAGTAAGTGTGTCCTCCTCTTTGTCCCCTTCTCTCAACGTCAGTCTCTCTCTCTCTCTCTTCCACCAGCAACCATCAGGAGGTGGTGGGTCCTGAGACTGAAGACCTGACCGCCACGTCCACAGAGGGTGGGAGACATCAAAACTCATCCATCACATCCTCCAAGACCGACACCGCTCCTCAGCCTGCTCCTCTCAAAAAGTCGTCTCAACCGACAAAACTGGTTGACCTCGGAGCAGCTGCTGCCTTTGCCAGTCAGGCGGCGGCCGAGAACCAGAGGAGAGAGACGGCCAATAGTACCATAGACAGTGTGTTTGGCGACTTCTCCAGCCAACCTCCAGCTCTTCAGTCCCAGCCTCCTGGACCAGGTGGGCTAAGATACAGACAGTGAACGTCTGCTGCTAGCGTAGGTTGGTTCTCCTCCAGGGAGCGGTGGCTCTGGGTTTGCTGACTTTGAAGGTGCGTTTGGCAGCGGGAAATCTTCTGAACCTGCAACAGTTGGAGGAGGTGGTGGTGAGCTTTCTGATAGTATTATCAATCACAACGTCAACTTTTCTACTACTCCATTTGTTCAGATTTTGGTGGTTTCTCAGCCTTCCAGAATGCACCCCAGCCACCACCGCAGGCAGTGCCACCGACTGCCTCTGCAGCACAAACTCTGGACTTTGGGGATTTCCAGGGCATCCCTCCTCCTCAACCCATGGTAATCACTATGACAACTGTGTAGATTCCTCACAGTGCTTTTTGTGTAAAAAGTGTTTCTGGAAAAATGTTTTGTGTTTTGAGCCGCTAGTCATCTCTGTTGTTTAGTTCTTGATGGGAGGAAGTGGTGGAATACTGCAGCCAATGGGGACTGCCCCTCCAATGAACCCACAATCAAACAGCGAGGAGATGCCAGACCTGATGCCTACCGAGGAGGTAAATTTTCACAGGAGTGGAGCCTAATGAGGCGGCTCCACCCCCAGCATAGTGGTTTCTTCAGAATAATTATATATAGTAGCTTCACAAAGCCTTAAATTTGCAACCCACAAATACTTACACTGACTTGTTTGTGAAAACTCAGCTTCCAGACAGGGCCACAATGTGGAGCACAGCAGGCATCAGCATTGACCTAGACAACCTACTGTCGAGTCCCTGCAAGACCTCTCAACCTACCACCGCTCCCTCCATGAATCAGCTGGCCAAGGGCCCCACACCCTCTCCCTCCCACCCTCCCCCCTCCTCCTCCTCCTTCTCTTCTGCGGCTCCTGCCGGACCTAACTACAATGTCAATACCTCTTCACTTATTGGGTCTGGGTTACCTCCGCACTCTCAGCATGGTATGGGAATGGGTGGTGGTATGAGAATGGGCAGTGGTGGAATGGGAATGGGAACTGGGGGAATGGCAGTAGGAGGTGGTGGTGGTATGGGAATGGGTTATGCTCCTAGACCAGGAATGATGCCAATATATGGAGGTGGATATGGAATGGGGCCACAGCCGGGTATGGGAATGGGACCAATGGGCTACGGTGGAATGCCGCCGACAATGGGAGGAAACCGACCAATGGGATCACAGCAAAGGCTCATGTGACCCAATTTTTCATACACACAACCATGAAGATTGTGTCAAGATTACGTATTTATGATGTTTCCACTTTTTTGGTTCACTCTCACTGTATAGCAACGTTGTGACACTATTAGAGCCCTGTGGTTTATGAAAATATTGTTTTTATGACGTCATTGGAAATGTGGGCGCTTTTTGGTTTCGTTTTGCTGGCAGTGGCTGTGTACGTGTTGGTAGTGACAGCCTGGCTCTTTGCTCGCTGTAGGGGCCGTGGCATGGCTGGAAAGCCTGAAGGAGACGAGCACAGCGAAGCTCCTGAGCCGCCCCGCGGTAGAACGGACGCCAGCGGACTGTGGGTCACGGAGGACGTCAGGGAAGCTGACCCAGGTGGGAGGACCCACCCTATCTACAAGAAGCTGGCCAGCCTGAGCAGCGAGGTTAACTCCATGAGCAGAGGTCAACTGAAGCAACGGCTGAGAGATCTGGGCCTTGAGCCGCGGTTAGTCCACCAACTACTGCCTGACAGTCAGCCATTGTTGCATTTACAGGGGGACAGACACAATCATCAGCAAACGCCTCACAACCTACCTTCGAAGACAGGCCATCTTGCAAGAGCCTGACCCTCCGTGGGAGCTGCAGAACTCAGTGCAGACCAACCCCTACGGTCTCCAGTACCTCCTGGTGCTGGACTTCGAGGCCACTTGTGAACCTGTCAACCCTGTGGACTATGTTCATGAGATCATAGAGTTCCCAGTTCTCCTCTTCAATCTCAAGACACTCACCGTAGTAAGTCTTTTGTTCTCCGTGTCTCTGAGACTATCATGCTGCCTGCAGGAGGACAGGTTTCATTCTTACTGCAGACCGTTTCTCAATCCCAACTTGACTGACTTTTGCAAGAATCTGACTGGCATAAGACAGGTTGTGTGGCAATAGTGCCCAATGCAATGTATGTACACAGTGAAGTGGCTCTGTCTGCAGGACCAAGTCGATAGTGCTCCGTATTTCACCGAGGTCTTCAGAAATTTCACCAAGTGGCTAGACGCCAGAGACCTTGGCAATAAACTAAGGTTTTCACTTGTGACTGACTGGTAAGCAGAAAATGTTTTCCCGGTCTCTCTATTATTAATTGCCTCACAGTCCGTGGGATATCAAGGAGTGCCTGTTCCCACAGTGTGTCTTGTCACAAGTCGAGTTTCCACAATATGCCACCAAATGGATTGATGCCAGAAAGCTGTTTGGCAGCTTCTACCGCACCAAGAGCGGGAACCTGTCCTCCATGCTGGAGAAGATAGGCCTCAAGTTCGAGGGTCGAGAGCACTGTGGACTTCATGACTCTTTGAACATAGCACGAGTGACTGAGAGACTCATAAGAGACGGATGTCTGCTCAAGTATAATAGGTTCATGCCTCAGGACCTACTGGCCTCCTTTGACAAGAGCTAATATCATCACCATGCGTTATGATGTCATGTACATGATCACTGGTGTTTGGGTTTATGTCAGTTGAGGAGGTGGTTCAACTGGCAGAGGTGGATGAGTTCTCGAGCCTCGTTGTGCTCCCAGCCGTCCCAGTCTAGCTCCAGTCCCCTCACTACACCAGCCTGCACAGATTATATATATAGCATGGCTCTTACACAATATCATGTCAGTGTGTGTGTGTGTTTGATCCCTGCCTCAAAGCCTGGGTTCCCAACTGCCTCACGCTGGTTTGACTCATTGTTGCACAGCAGATAGAACAGTGCGTGCAGACTCCAGCGAGCCTGAAATAATCAGGAATAAAACAATTGAATGATAAAAGGAATTTCATACACATTCGTCATCTCCCTCGGTCATAAACTCCACCACCAACTCGGGGAAAGATTGGACTCTGGGGAGGTATGGGGTAATAATAATTATACAGAGACAGTGTGCAGAGGTGGGACTAACAACCGTGCAATGTCTTGTGTGAGTGTTGAGGCACAACAGATCTCACTTAGACTCTTCACCACTTGCTGCAGTGAGAATATCCTGTAATTCACAAGTATCACTGTTGTCTCTAGAGGGAGCCTAGAAATTAGGATCCCCCTTGCACATAGGGATTGTATATACCAGTCCAAGAGGAGCATGTGAAGGCTCTTTGCTGTGGAGTAGGTTGGCCAAGAGGGTGAAGTAGTTTTTGGCTGCAAATTCAGAGGCAGGCATTCCTCCTTGACAAGAGATGTATTGTCATTGCAGCTGTTTACCAAGTCAGGATACAATATACCTGTCCAACACATATGCCCGATTTTTGCAACTGCTGGAACGAAGAAAGACATTTGACTCAAGAGTGCCAGTTGTGATGAGGTCAACTGACCTTGAATCTTCTCCTCTGGAGTGCTCTGTGCTCCAGGCATCAGGTAATGCAAGGCCTGCTGTTGGATCTCATACTGAAAAGGTTCCCTCTCTGGGTCTGCCAGCAGACTTGGACCACTGGACCCTGCAGATGAAAGGCAGTGGGATTAGAGGAGAGTTAATGTGGAGGATAACCCGTACTGAATATTGCCGGACTAGGACGACGGACTAAATTTGCGACTTTCTTTACCACATTCATCTCTCGTTTAACTCCTGCGCATGCGCCGAGTCTCGCGGATGGCATAGATAATGAGATGGCGGTGGAGGGCTGTGCAGAGTGCATCTTCAATAGTCCAGTGGGTCGTCTGAGGATTGCAGCCACCGCAGACGGCGTATGTGCCGTGGTCTGGCTGAAGGAAGGGGAGAAGACGACAGAGCTGGTCGGAGAACACCAGGACCCCAAGGACCGTGCACGAGCTAGGCAGCACCTGGCCACCTGTACTGACTGGTTGACGGCCTATTTCAGTGGCTCCCTCCTGGAATCTCCAGTACCGAGACCTCCTCTAGTTATCCCCAAGAAAGGTGAATAATAAACACACTGATATTGACTGGACAGTAAATATTTCCATTGTAGGAACGTTTTTCCACAGCGTGTGGTCTGCTCTCTGCAGCACGGAAGTCGGGGACACAGTGAGCTATTCGGAGCTGGCGGGCCTAGCAGGGAACCCGGCAGCTGCACGGGCAGTGGGACAGGCGATGCGCAAGCACTGCATCCCTCTCCTCATCCCGTGTCATCGTGTTGTTAGGAGCAGAGGCGGTGGCTTGGGCAACTACAGTGGAGGAGAAGGCACACCCACCAAACAGTGGCTGTTAGAGCACGAGAAGAAAATGGTGAATGGGCCCTAATTTTGGCCAATTTTGACCTTGATCACTGAAACAGTCCCACCCTCATATTCACTGATTGACTATTTGTGTTGTTATAGACACTGAATGATGAGATTTTGATCTACTGGATGTTTTTGTAAGTGATGATTTTCTTTTCCCCGGTGGAAGGTGACAGGATAAAGTCGTCCAAAACTTCATTTTCAAGAGCTTCCCTAATCTTCTCGTCCATATTTTCAGCAGTAATGCAGCTGCTTCTTGAAGTCTGTAGAAGATTTATATCATATGGGGAGGAACAAAAACACAATGTTATAATTATACCTCTATGAGCTCAGTTTTCCTGGACACCCAGTCAAGTATCTCTTCTTCTCTCTGCTGTCTAGAGGCAACACCCTTTTCCCTCTTCTCCAACAGTCTCTCTTCCTCCCGCTGTTCTGCAGTTTCCCTGTAGTAGCAGACACACACACACGCCAGCTTATAAGCTTAGCTTAGCCCCGCCCCCTACTGGAGGTGCGCTACAATTGGAGCACAAACCGTTCCTTCGCCATCCTTTCCAACTCGTGTACAGCGGCTTCGAACGCCCGCGTCTCCTCCAGCTCCTTTTGCCTGGCCTCCTCCGCGGCCTTAGCACTGAACTGTGTCTGCGTCATCCTCTGCTCCTCCGTCCACTGGTCCCGGAATCCTCTCCGGAGCTCGCTCACTTCTCCACGAAACTTGGCGTATGTCTGCGCCACGTCCTTGTAGTACTTTGGCTTCTCTTTGTAGAATTTAGGTCTCGTGGCGTAATTCCTGCAGCTCCACTGACTAACAAGCGGCGACCGAGTCAGCTTCAAGCCGGCGTTTGCCATTTCGCTTTTGTGCGCATGCGCATCTGATCAAAGCTAGTGTCGTTTACATATATATACGGAGCACACATGAACGTAACATGAAAATGGCAGGGGTCTATTATTGAAAGAGAGAGAGAGAGAAGATGATTGCTAGGGGGAGTAGGGAGGGGGAGGGGTGTTGGGTTCAGATGTGTTTGGCTCAGCCTCGCTAAGTGAGGTCTCAGTCTCCGTCTCACTGAAGTCAGTGGAGTCAACCAGACTGTAGGCCGGAGGGTTGGCCAGCAGCTGCTGCTGAACTGGTCTGTCCAGTCTGTTTCTCTGGGACTGCTGCCTGAGAGGGGAAGAGGGGTGGAACACTCATGACAGGCAGGAAGTGAAACAGTGAACCCTGTCTATTTTGGCCACCAAGTAAGAAGACCACTTCCCTGTAAGAACACTTGTCTGTGTTCATTTGCTTTATGTTGTACCATTGACTTTGACCTCTCTAAAGAGACCACCTCATCAACAACCCAGAGGTGGTGTTTCATTGAATGGAAACATTACCTCCTGAATCTTGATCTCACTGAGCGTCTTCTCTCGGCAGCTGTCCGTGCAAAGAGGAGGTTGAATGCGGCTGCCCCGAGAGAGAACAGTCCTCCCACCAGGAACAGGTAGTAGGCATACGAGAACTGGCTCTCGATCCCAGTCTTTGGCACGCCCACATGTCATGATCTGCTTGTCGGTTGGTAGGAACTGCGCCACTCCCAGCCACAGCCCAGCCACCAGCACTATACACAGTACTATATACGGGACGACAAAAGAGGACAAAGATAAATAGTAATGTGGAGGTGATTTTGAAGCGAAACTAGACGTACATGAGATGATGTTGAAGACGGAGTAATGTCGGAGGAATTCAAGTCTTTCCCTTGGGTATCCGGCGCTGATGGTGGCAGATATTAGAGAAGAGATGATAGCCAGAGCTGAGACACTGATGACACATGATATGAGGATCTGCTGACTGTTGGAGTAGTACTCCGTCACTGCGGGTAATGGAAGAGTGGCTTGTTTTGAAGCATATTTCATAGACTTACTGCTAAAGCTGTAGTCGTGGTTAAAGGCCTTGTCTTCTATCACCACTTGGGTCAGTTTGAAGGTGAACTTGCAGTTGCTCGTCTCGGCTTTGCCCCACTCTTGCAGAGAAAGCGAGAGGATCAGCAGTAACACGCACAGGCAGCTACAGACGACGGATACGATGTGCCGCTCCCTCGCCGGCTTGTCATAGGGTCTCAGGCCGGCCTGCTGTCTCCTCCTGAACCAGCTCAAGTCCACCATAACCAACAGACGGCTGGAGCCACCACGGTGACGCGAGAGAGGTTTGGGCCCCAAGAGG